AATTTGCACACTGAAAAAACACAGAACTGTAGCAGTCTTCTGCCACAAAGCAAAATTTTTCTGTATTGTGTGCGTTGCCAAAATTTAAACTTCCTATTCTAGGGGCACTGCTAGTTGAGATTTGAGATATGCTATTTTTCAGGAGCTGAAAGATGAGAGATTTGGGGGGTGGGACAAGTGCTAGCAGACAGTATAAAGAAGGGGAAACTGAAGCTGATAAGCGTTTCAAGAACGAATTCCACTTACCTGCCTACTCAGAACATTGCATTGTAAATAAAGAGGAGGCTGTCTGAGAACAGGAATAGCATTTGCTGAGCTCTTTTCCTTTGGGATGTAAGGGCACCAGGGGTGATGAGTATTTATGAATCTGTGTCCTTTTAAAGGCATAAAGGAAAATAAAATTACTATATTCTGGTTTCACAGAGATTCCCAGAACTCATCTGGAGTATGAGAACAGGCTGACTATGAAAATGTTTCTGTTCCAGTTTGTCAACTACTATTCTTCCTGCTTCTATGTGGCCTTCTTCAAAGGGAAGTTTGTTGGTTACCCAGGTGCATACACGTACATGTTTAATCGCTGGCGAAATGAAGAGGTAGGACTTTATTGATGAAGGTGAAATGAATACTAAACTAGTTAAACTGTTCATCCCCTCCAACCCACGGAGCCGTAACTTGCCTACTGTACGTTTGATGTGGAATGAGCTGGACCTTTTCTGGCCATCCTTTGGCTGATGAAGGCACTTTCAAGGGCTCTTCCTGCTCTTGCTGTTTGGGGAAACACTGGTAGTGAAAACTTGTGGCACTCAGTCACAAAGGTGAAAAAATCTAAAAGTTTTTGTTGACTTCGCTTCTCCTGAAATACCGGTGGATCTAAGCCATATGTTTGAGAAGTGACCCTGTAGGTTGAAGAAAGTTAGTATAAATGGAGATGCTCACTGGCTTCCAGGTATCTTCATTAGCTTTTTGAGGTACCACATTTTCAGAGAAACCATTTGCTAAGAGGCACCTCTGTAAGTTTTTGCTTTTTTCTTGCATCCTTCCTAAGTATACTGTATGTACAGAGAAGAAATGCAATATTTAATGCTAAGTATTGCTTGGAAGTTAATTGTGACGAAAAAACTTGATGCAAAACAGAATGAAGTAATGCAGTGGAGTTAGTAATTGATTCTCTGCTAGTACTGATCGGGCTGCTAAATTATTAAAAAAACATCAGTAAAGACTAGCAAACAGCAGGGACCAGATACTGGCAGGTGTTTAAATACCTCCAGTGTCGGGAAGCAGAGCAGGTGCTTGCTGTATGTTGGTCTAGGTGTTGCTGTTGGTCTAGGTGTTTTGAGACAAACAGGCACCATAGTTTCACCTTGCCTGGGGCAGGGGGTTGCTGCTGCTGCACCTGGCTCCTACTGCCCCATCTTGTGTCTCTGCACAGCAGTCAGCCTGAAGCACCTGTGTTACTCTTAAGCATCAGAGTTACTCCTTTAAATGGTCTCTCTGTTTTAATATGTCTTTTACTGAGCACATGGAGCATTTATAGCCCTTCTGTAACAGCTTTCCTTAAGAGAAAATCTTAGCTGGCAGTCCAGGTGTAAATTAAGTATTGTCCTAAGCAATTTATGAACTTTTCTTCTCTCCCTTCTCTCACATATACAGGAGTAGGATATATTTTACCTGGGTAGCATCCATTATGATGTTACTATTAACCTCCAATCTGTCTTTACCAGTGTGATCCTGCAGGCTGCTTGATAGAGTTGACGACACAGCTCACCATAGTCATGGCTGGTAAACAGATCTGGGGAAATATCCAAGAGGCCATTGTACCGTAAGTTATCCCTCCACTGAGATGCCTGTTTTTATAGAGGGATGAAATTATTGGAAGGACTGATAATCGGTAGGCCATATGAAGAAGCTAAGAAAGATACTGTGTGTAAATTAACCACATAAATTCTGAAAAGTAGACTTGCTTTATAGATCTTTTGGCTTTTTTATTGTGAAAGCTATGCTTGTAAGAGCATATTGCAATAAGGAGCTTGCTTAGAGAGAAAGGAATACGTGATCTGCTTCCTCCATTTGTTACCGTTTTGTGCAACTGCAGCTGGATTTGTAACTGGTGGGGACGTCGGAAAGCGAGAAGTAATCCAGAAAATTTATACAGTCGCTGGGAGCAGGACCATGATCTGCAAGTATTCGGAGCCTTGGGCCTATTCTATGAATATCTAGAAATGGGTAAGTTAAAAAAAAAAAACACTTTGGGAATGGGGACAAGTCACCCTGTACCGATACTTGCAAGACAATTGGTTTTCAGTTAGTTTTGGAGGAATGATGGTACCACTTCCATATGGTAAACAGCAGAGCATGAACTGCTGGAAATCATGAAATATCCCAGCCCAATAAACAAAGCTGTCCACATCTTATAATGCAGGGAGTTTCATAGAAACACTGCAAGGACTGTTTGTTTCCCTTATTTGGCTGGTGAATATTATTCTCAGTGCAGCTAGCTCTGTCACTGTGTATTCAGTTCTTGTTCCCCAGCATGTTTGCCGCTGATGTCAGTGGAAATTCTTAAGTGTGGGACGAGTGCCAAATATGCTGTAAGGCTACTGCAGATATGAGATCTACGCACTGGAGCAGAGAGAATACATTTGGTTTTAGCTTTGCACTGATCAGTGCTTTGATGCAATCCAGTAGACCAGCAGAGGGAGCATGAGTAACAAAAAAAGCTTTTTCAAAAGTGATGCTAACATGATCAGCTTATGAAATTTGTTTACAAAACCTAAGAAGCTAAAGCTGGAAATTGAAGCCAAAGTAAATCGAAAATACACTTGGGGGAGGGAAAAAATACTTGTCTACTAGAAGGACAAAATTTGTTGGAAAGGGCTCTCTTGTATTGTTTTACTTGCAAAGAAATAATTTTAAGTGTTAATAGATTGCCTAGAGCTATGCAGCTCTGTTCCTGTCATATAGCTAGTTCCTGCAGCACTGGGATCTAGTGAAATTCATACGTCAAGGACAATCGGTGTTGTCAGTCGTGCCTGGTAATAGATTTCCTTGCTGAATCAGAGCTGAACCAGTACACTCTGGTATTGTTCCAGGGTTGCTGAGCTAGCAGGACTTCTGTTTGAGTAAGATGAAAAACTTATCACTAAACTCATGAAAGAGCAGACGGCTGGTGTGCGGGGCGGGGAGGAGCGTTATCATCCACTGCCTAAACCAGACAAGATGTTCCGTTTCATTTCCTTTGTTTAAAATATAGTGGCAGTATTGGCTCTGCACTGAGGAATGTCACAGGACGATACAGAGTGTATCAAGAGACGTTACGTTTTTGGTAGTGACTAAAGGGATCATTTATGTATTCTCCTTGCAGTTCTTAAATTAACGTTAAGACTTCCCACTGGCATTAAAACAAGCAAAATTAATATTAATAATATTTTGACTAACCCAATAACAGCAGGTAGAGGTAAGGTTGTGATGAAAATTAAAATATTTTCCCTTCTTCTTTAGGAGTGAATTGATAGCAAGTTTAAAAGGCCAAAGGGCTTGCTCTGTGCAAATTGCAGGAGAGGAGAATGAGCTTTTTTAGTACTCCCTCAGAAAATCAGAAATTTGGCATATGAGTCACTTTACATTCACTACATGACAAGTGCAGCTCCATGAAAAAATCGATATCCATCCCTACTGGTCCTGTGACAGGGCCCAAATGCCCCTTCCTCTTGGCTGCTGCTGAGAGGCAGCCGTGGGAGACTAGAGAAGTCTACGGGCTGGAGCAGACTGACGTGTCACCCTGGGCGGGGGTGGAGATGCTTTGTTGCACAGCCTGGCAGAAGTTTGCCACGTGTGCAGTAGTGGTGTCTTAAATGTTCCATTGTCACTTTGAAAGTTCTCTCTTCAGGGCAGATATTGGCACTTTTCTCTTTTTCCCTTGCAGTAATTCAGTTTGGATTTATTACTCTCTTTGTGGCCTCCTTTCCTCTGGCTCCCCTTCTTGCTCTGATGAATAATATTTTGGAGATCCGAGTAGACTCCTGGAAGTTAACCACTCAGTACAGGAGACCTGTTGCTGCCAAAGCGCATAGTATAGGAGTTTGGCAAGAAATCCTGAACGGAATGGCCATCTTGTCTGTTGTCACTAATGTAAGTAAGTTAACTGTGCTAAGTCAACTCTGCGTTCATGTTTTCAGAATGTACAGATTTAAAAATCAGCAGGCGCTTTTTCCCCTTCATCAGCAATACTCATTTTATCCCATGCTGCCCTAGGAGATATGGTCAAACTATTTAGGTGATTGGGCTTGGCAGTGTGTTGATGACATGTGTCTCTCAATCCACATTTCATTGGACCATAATCTTTGATTCACTTGTCCCTTCTAGCATTTTGGAATGGCGTGAGCTAGTCTGATGAAGTTTAGTCTGAAGCATCCAGATTGTGCAGGTGGAACCACAGGGGATAGTAGAGGTGGATTAATTCCATCAGTCAGATGACGTTTCTGTCTCGTCATTATAGGGTCTGTGTTGTGGGAATTCCTGTTCAACTGCTTCTGGATGCCCCTATGGGAGCAATGGCTCAGAACACTTTTAATAAACTGGAAACAACATGCTGCATTTGGTATTCCGTCTTTAGTAAAATGTAAAACAGTCTGCTGAGCAAAACAGTTACTCTTTTTAATGCAAAATATTAAACTGTATTAGATCTACAAATGTCTTAAGTAACAAAACCACTTGTAGCTATTGCATAACTAGCAAGACACCTGAGCGTTTTGAGCTTTTCAAGTCTTTAGGCGAAATGTCCTGCTAGCCATTACTTCCTTCTGAAATGCAGCTGGAGAAAACGGCTCCCCTTCTTTCTTAAAATAACTTAGTGATCACACACCAGATTAAAGTTCATCCTTTCTCACAAGGATTCCAGCCGACATCTCTTTCCCTCAGCAGTGCTGTAATCACTCATAGAAGATGGTTTGGTGTGAGGGCAGGGAAGTACAAGAAATCAGTTCTGTATTGCATAAAGTAATTCATAATTTATTAAAAGAGAAGGGAAAGGGAGGAATGACTTGGAAGCCAAAACACTCCTCTGGGGAAGAGGATTTTTGGGTTTCAGTGCCTCTTCTAAGGACAGTTCACATATTTTCTTCACTAAATGTTTAAAATCAACTAGTCCTTGCAGCAGAGGCTAGAGCCAGCTCCTTTACCAAAGCAAGTGCCCTAATCGCACTCACACTTGCTCAGTGGATCCTGAGTTATGTCACAGTACCAAAAAGCCTTTTATTAATCTGCTCACAAGTTTTGTGTGGTACTTCCTCAATTTCTTTTTCCAATTTCTTTTCCAGGCTTTTATTGTTGCATTCACATCAGATATGATTCCTCGTTTAGTTTACTACTATGCTTATTCTACAAACGAAGACTCACCTATGTCTGGATACATAAACAATAGTTTGTCAGTGTTTCAAATCTCGGATTTTCCTGACAGAAACAAGCCAAAAATGAATCTAGGTGATTTTGACACGTGCAGGTTTGTGTTGGTATAATAATAAACGTTTTGTCACTATCTGTTTAGAATACACCATAAAAAGTCAATGCAGATCTAAATAGTCCACTGGAAAATACATGACATAAATCCCAAGCGTGAAAGATAGTGTTTAAGCTATTAACAAGACAGTGTTTGAGATAGTAAGAGATCCTGCCAGTAACGAATGAACAGTCACCTTTTTAGTCTTAAAGACAGTCTGATTTACTAATATGAGAATTTATTTCTTAATTATGCTATTGAGTGGTGGAAGAGATTTATGTCCCTGAAGCTGCAACTTAAGCCTGTATTTTAAAAAGTATTTAGTTGCAATGCTTAAATGGCCAAGGAAGCTTTATTAAGGGGCAGTTTAGACTCCACAAAGCATATGCACCACTACTGAAAAAGAGACACAGTCTTTAAAGTCAATGTCACTGTGCTTAATATCATTGAGAAGCTGGACCATTCATTTTCATGGAAAAGAAAAGTCCCTTCTCACTAGAAGAAAAACTGGAGGTTTCTAGAAGAATTGAGAGACAAGGTCAGAAAAATCCATAGTGAAGGAAAACCACTTCATTTGATGTGGAGAAAAATCCTTTAAGAAGAAGCTACAGTTGTTTGATATTTTAGCTTTAAAGCTCCAGGAGTTCTACCTATGTATGTGAATGTTGAACACATACTCAAGACTGCCCTCCGATTAAACCCAGCATCTGTCTGGTACATAATCTGTCAACTTCCATTGCATTTATTCATTTGTCCATTACTGTGTGCTGCATTGCATCACTCTGTCCTGCATTATTTGATCATGGCCTGAAAACAAAAGTAACCTATGTATAAAATTGCACTTCTTGCTCGTCCTCATCCATGCTCTGTTGCTGTGAATAAGGGTGTTTAAGCAAATACAAGACAGAAACAAATTATGAGAGCCAACCTTTTTCCGAAAAAGGAAGCAGACCATTTAAAGCAAGATGAAAGGGTTCCTTAAATGACAGCTGTATTTGCATGTAAGTGTCACTGAGCTTGTAATCTGTCTCAGACTGAATATGACATTTCACCTTTACATGTCGTTCTACCTAACAGGTACAGAGACTATCGATATCCTCCAGATCATGAGAGGAAATATTTACACACTATGCAGTTCTGGCATATTCTTGCTGCAAAAATGGCCTTTATAATTATTATGGAGGTATGTACCCCACATAATTTTCCTCTGAAATTAATGTTATAGATTCTGCAGATAGCTGTTGATATTATGGGAGCTAGAACTGCTGAGAGTATGAAGTAGTTTCTTCCCTAAGTAATATCAAATATTCCATGTCCAAAGCAATTACTATGACTCGGTCTTTTAGCTTCAGGAAGTTAACCTCAGAATACGAAGAGTGAAAACAGCTTGAGAGACTGCTAGATTTGATCTAAAGAAAACAGCAGAATAAAAAATGTCTTTATGCAGATGGCAAGAGCCATGAACCACTAGGACTAGCCCTTGAGCTTCTACTGGTTTCATTAGAGCACTGTATGTGAGACAGCTGCTATACAGAATCCTAAAAGCATTTTTCGAGCAATCTGTTTTGGATAAAACCAGATAAATCAAAAATTTGGAGAAGTGGCATTTGAGTATTAAGCCAGCGTTTCACAAGTTCTAAAGAGAAAAGATGACCATTAAAGGGCTATTCTCATCACTTTTCCTACTGTATTTTTATCGATTCTCGAAAGCTGCGCGTTATCAGCATGGGAATGTGAAATTGTTAAGAAACCACCCAGAGGTATTAGAAAGCAATGCTGGGGGTTCAAAACCTGACACTTTCCTCTTGGACTTGCTAATTAATAAAATGATCTGGAATTAAAATTTCTCCATAAAAGGAAATGTTTTAATCTTTGTGCACATCTCGGATGCACATTAGTTTGTGACATTTTGTTCCAGGACAGCTGAATGATGAATAGTCTGTGTGAAGAAAGAGAAGTGATCGTTTTGGTGTTAAATAATTAACAGTAGTCCTTTCATCTGGTAATGAGTTGTTACATTTCCCCTGGCTTTTTTCTTGCAGCATGTTGTATTCATCGTCAAATTCTTTGTAGCGTGGATGATTCCTGATGTCCCTGCAGACGTGAAAGCCAAAATAAAACGTGAAAAGTACTTAACACAGAAAATCCTCCATGAGTATGAACTTGAAAAACTGAAGGAGAAGCTGTGTCGAGGTGATAATCAAGCCACAGAAAAGGAGTTCATTGCCACAGAAGGAAAAGTGGAGTTATCCAGAGCAATGTAGTTGAAAAAAACTACTGTATGTGATTTAGATCATGGATTTGTGGGCCTTTTTTCCGTGATTTGCTCAGTATGCATCATCTTGAAAGCTGTGGGATAGTTTTAATCCGTTGCTTTCAGTCCACAGATTTCAGACTTTTTAAAGAAGTCTTAGCAGTCTAGGTTTAGTAAATTTACTTAACTCCTGCGATTTTAGCACTGTTTTCTATTTACGTATTGCTTTGAATAATAATTGTAATCCTGTTATCCTAGAATTTGGATTCCCAGGATAGGGGATATTCCGCTATAAGGGCTCACAGGTTATCATGTGGTCATCACCACCAAGCCCTTCCCCCTGTTCCTAAATGCACAGTTCAGGCTGTGTCCCAGCTGAATGAAAAGGATATTATAGATGACTCCTGCTATGGAAAATGCTGAAAATGATTATTTTTGTGACGTGATCGTTTAAATCAGATAATACTTCTGATGCAGGGATTGGGTTATGTTTTTTTTTGTATCCGCTACATATCTTATATAACATTTGTTCACAACTTTGAACTTTTACACATTTTTAGATGGAATGGATTTTTAAAGCTGTATTGGTCTAATTCCACTTGGAATTATTTTAAGGTATAGAATTCAGTTAATACATAATGAAGGAGAAGAACCATAATTTATTTTCATAAAGATACCTGCCAAAGAGTTTTCTCTTTAAATGCAAATACTGTAGAATCATCTAATTAGTGTTTTTGCAGCTAATCTTTTTTTTTTCCTTTTTCCTCAACTTCAGAAACTACCATTAGAAAAATAGGCTTGACGTTAGTTTCGGCCAAAACTGGTCCTTGGTTTGGTTTCTTTCCATCTCTGTGAAAGCCAGCAATGGGCTAAAACAGTCTATCTGTATTGGGTGTACGCAGTGGAGTGACTTTTAAACAGTCCAGCAGTTTGGGAGCTGAACTGCCATACCAATTGATCTAGCTATATGATTGTGCAGAGATGAGGATTACTACTCAAAACATTTTAAGAATGCCAAGTAACGTATGTTTATGTTGCTACTGTCCTTATACATAGGAGCCTTGACTTTTTTCTTTTTTTAAACTTTCAAGAAGGATTTTTTTCTGCTTTCTCATGGGACTTTTCTACAAAGTTATCAAGTTTATATATAATATCTACTTGTGCAAAATAGCTACCAGTTTATGAATGTGCTCATGTTTTATAATTTTAAGCAGTTACACATTTTTATGATTTTGCTGGATATTTAAAACATATCAACACTTTGATGCTTAGTGCCTTGTTTATTTGCATTTGACGAAAGATGTGAAAATGATCACTATGTGGAAACGTGTATTTCCAAAGTGTGCTTGCAGGCATCATGATACTGTGAACCTGCACACAAAACTGTATAGTATTAGCCAAACAATGCCTGCCTTGGCACATTTCTGTGTGTTTGTGCTATGCGAACTATTGGAGAGCAGTTCAGAACTGGACTGCTTAGGTGAAGTAGCGCCAGACTGTTGAGTTCTCTCATGCTAAAGTATACTAGCTAGAGAGTTAGAAATTTTAATATTTTTGCACTTTGAAAGTTATACTTCCTTGCAAGTATAAAAAAAATCAGATTTGTATTCTGTATCAGCCAAATAACGTACTGTTTACTAGGTCCACAAGTTAGTTTCCAGATTTTGTTTTAGCAGACCCAGCCTATGTCTTGGAACATTTGGCTAGTAACCTTGTTATCTTAACAGACTTTTAAATCAATGTCTTGGGTAGAACTGTCATTACTAGCAGAAGTTCTGACGTTGAAGTGCCTACCTCTAACAAACATCGCGTGGTTCGGCTCCAGCCAGGCAGCTGAAGCAGGTGTACATTTCTCTTTACTGTAAGTTATTCATTTTGATTCTGTAAGCTTGCTTGATAAATCAAGCATATTGGCAATTCATGTTTATAGTGAACTGACCATGTTCTTGAATATTTACATGCATTTAAATAATGGATTTACTGCGGGAATGCAGTAAATAAAATAGCTCTGCTGCTTAATGTATAAGCCAAAGAGGAGTATCAGTCATCGTAATTATGTATGCAACACCAGAATTTAAATAATGCAAGCACTTTTCTGCTTCTTACATATATACTACTAACTAAATTGCTTAATTTAGATTCCACACGTTTGCTACTGATAGCAAAGGCACAGAATTGCTTCAAAGAGTGAGATGATGAGATGCAAAATAATATTGATATTTCTATGCAAAATGCACAGGTCTGAAGCTAAAACAGGTTTGAAAATTCAGCAGTAGATGGGTTTCTGAAGACAGAACGTTAATTTCTTCACATCTTGTAATAAAGTTTCCGACTATACTACACTTGACAAGATGTCAGCAAAATAGCTATATTGTGAATCAATAATGCTATTTGAAAGCAAAATGGAGGAAAACAAGAAGGAAACAAAGACTGGGGTGCAGCATTAATATGTAGAAGCCCCACATAGAGACTCTGAATTGGATTGGATATTTGGCCTCATTTCTTGCTTCTTTGAAGTTTATTTCTTGACATCATTTCCTGTTTGATGCTATAGAAAAGATGTTCTGCGTATGTTGTATCCTATTATAAAAAAGCGAAAACTGTGGGATCAGCTTATTTAAATACGTATATAAATATATCATTACACTTCATAGCATTACTTGGTATATAGAAACTGTTGAAGAGAGAATGTGTTGTATTCACAGCTAATGTCACATAAGATCACAGTCTAACACACCTCTTTATGTAATAGTTTGCCTTTATAAGTTATTAGGCAGTATTTTCACAAACAAAAGATTGTTAGCATGATTAGGATTATAATGGTCTACATACATATATATTTACTGCAGCATTCTTGAAAAGTGACAAATCAAAAAAAATGGTCCAGTCAGTTTGGGGGTGTGCTTGTTCTTACTGTTGGAATATTTGGTTTCGCTGGTTAAAATATGTATCAGAAAGTGTCCTTTAACCAAAGTGAAGCTACTCCTGTGTTTAAACTACTGTAATTTAAGGAACAGTAGATTGTTTCATTAGAATTAGTTAGAAAAACAAAATTGGCCTTCAAAGTATAGTAAGATCAGGGTTTTTTTTTTTTTCCCAATTGAAATGTAGTATTTATACCTTAGGAAGATTTAGTATGTTATGATCTAAGCAAATGACTGCAAAATAAGAGTGCTACTACAAAACACTATACTGTTTTTCTAGAAGATTTTATTATTATACTTTGACTTCTTTATGAAAACATGAATAATACCATCAGTTTGAGACAAGGAAGGAATGGAAATAGATGTACTTTCTTATTGTTCTGTCTGTATTGCTTGTTTTGACTTGTACTGTCATGTGATCAGAGTAGCATTTTTGTCTGCAAAGTATGTTGGTGATACACATGATACACTAATGTTGGGATAATTTTTTTAAACGTTGCATTCAGCTAACTTATATGTACATTTAATAGGATTTAAATCTGTTGGCAAATAAAGCAGTGTTTATTTTTAATATGCTGTCAACTTGTTTTTGGAGATTCCACCACTTCAGAGAGTAGCTGAAATATTAAAAGAAAAGTGGCCAGAGAACTTTATGGAGAAAAGTATTCGTACAGATTTCTCCAACTCATTGCAGGGTATTTGGATGCTGTATATAGATTTCCTTCAATAGTCACTTCAATAATACGAGTAAGAAACTTGTTAGGAAAGCCTGCATCTGACTGCCCTCTTCCACTTGAAATGATAACCACATTGTGGAGCTGTGTTATCTGTCTTTATGCGTTTTCTTTAGAAAGCAGTTACCGAGGCAAACTTGTACTAAGTTCTGCATATGGCGTTGACAGTGACCACTGACGAGGTAGCAGGTGTATATGATATTTCATGAGTGGTTTTATCTTTGCACGTTCTTTGTGTTAGAAGGCCACAATACAGTGAAAAAGACTCTGTGCTTTCATCTTTCTATAGGTATGGTACAAACAGTATGCTAACACACAAGCAGGGTTCATTTCAGCTAGGCTGCTTTTCCCTTTATTTCTGCGGTACGGTGCTTGTTCTTTCAGTGCCGGGACTTCAGGTGACTTCTCAAGTTCTCGGTGAGGCATACATATAGTTTCCACAAGTAGCACGAGTGGTTCACATATATGCACTTGGATCGTCTAAGACACACACTGGAAAATATGGTAGAGCTAAAGATTTTCCAGGGGATTGACTGGTAAAGTATTATTGTTCATGGATATCTCTACATCTTTTGATCTTTATCTTAAAACTCAATTGTAGCATCAGCGTAGGCCTCTAGATTAAATGGCAGTAAATCTGGAATGTAGTTTAGCATTTGCTGTCAATAAATAGCATCAACACATGCTATCGCTCCTGTTACTTACCACGTTACCAGAACTTCTCTGGGAACAAGAATACGCTCCAGAACTAGTAGGTCATTTCCTTTTTAACTTAATTTATTGAGACATGCAGTAGCAATAATCAAACACAAACGAAACAAAGGTGTCAGATGAACAAAACACTGTCTTGTCTATCTTAATAAAAATGCAGTAGGTAGATAGAGTCAATGGGCAAGTTGATTATTTATTATGCTATGCTAGTTACTGAGATGGAATAGGTTACTTAGTTTTATTTTTCCTTTTGATAACTATTTAAAAAAAGGAGAAGAAAGCAACGACTGCAAAAGGAAAGTGAGAAAAGAGAAAAACAGACCAATAAACTGTTGTTGCTATGCCTCAATAGGGGATATTTATTATGAAAGAGTTAGAAGCTCTCAGGTGAAGTCAAGCTTTGGTCTTGGAAGCTAAATCTTGCCTACACTGAGGCCTGTGGCAAATGCATAATGAAGTTTAATTGAAGCTGTAAGTTTATGCAAAAAAAATTACATCTTATAAGGAGGAGTGGTGTGATAACTTGTGAGACCTCTACAAGTCTTGGAACATAACAGAACAACCTGGTATCTCCCATGGTCATAAATTGTAGTTACCCTGCAGAAGTCTTTAACTCCTTCATTTATCTTGATATGAAAGTCAAGCCAAAATTTTGACTGTTGTTCTTTTTACCTAGGAAACATAAGTACGGCATTTAGTTTAGTCGGTGTCTTTGGCCACTCAGATTAGAAGGTCTTTCTAAAAAAAAAAATTCCTTGTTTATTCTATGGAAAAAATGGCAGAAGCATTAAAAGAGCAGAATAAGTGTTTTGAACATGTGCATCTCAATGAAACTCATACACTGCATAAAATACATTGTCCTACAAGAGTAGAGAATTCATTACTAGATCAGTGGGAAAGAACGAACAGATCTGGAAGAAATGGTGTCCCAAAATCTGCAGTTTGCATGTTTCATGTCTGTCTCAGATGTGTGGGGGCTGCAACAGTTAAAATTTTTTGTCTAATGCTCTTCAAAAAGTTCAGAATTAAAACCTGTGTTCATGAAAATAATAATGCCTTAGATATGACACTGAAAATATTAGAAGTCAACACAACTACACCAGTGGCAACTGCTCAGTCTCAGCTCCCAGTTTGTAACTGGCACGAGGTTAAGAGTGTTTATCACTGAAAGAAGCTGAGGAACAGGGTTGTGGTCCCTAGCATCTGGTAGGGCAAAGAGACTGTACAGAGAGAAGGCAAATGCAGCCTAGCAAAGGCCATAAAATCGGCATGAAAAACCTTCCTTCCTTGAAAGCTGGAAAGAAGTAAAGAAAACATGTGCTTATTACCATATGAAAGATAACAAAATACTTTCCAGAATATTTGTATTACTTTGCAACTTCAGTAAGCTAGAGTTACTAGGGCTTGTCTTTGGTCCTGCATGCGCAGGGTGGGTGCAACAGCTCACCAGCACAGTCTTGGCATCCTGGAAAAGCTATAGCTAAATTAAATCTTCTTCTGGTTTTAAAAAAAAACCCAAAAAACCAAAAAACCAGTCACTTCTATCCAACACTTGTATCACTCAGATGCAGCTCAGGAAGATTTTTACATACATACACACGCACACACACGCGCACACACACACACACATATATATGTATATATAAAAGCATATGTACTGAGAAATCTGCTGGGAGATGGGGAGGCTGTGAAATTCAGCAGCCGTATCAATTTTTGGAAGGTGCATATGCACGTTCCCCTGTAACAATTAGTGACTATGCTTTCTCAGTCAGAAATGAGTCAATCTAAAACATTTTTAAAGTACCTTTTTCTTTAACTCCTAGACAAAACAGTGCTATTAACTACTCGGAAACATATTTTTATTTGAAATTACTAACTGACCTAGCTTTGTCCTTTGTTGTTCTAAACCTTCATAGCTATTGCTTAACAATACTCTGCACTCACTGAACGGTCTCTGCCGGAAATGAATAGAAATCTCGGTTATTCTGTGCTCAAATATTGAACATCTATCCAGTATAAACAGAAACAAGGATAGATGTTTAAACTCAGGTGACTTTTTAATACATTATGTGATTTAAATTGAACTATTGTAGATAGTAATAAAGATACTAAACTAACAGCACCAGTGCTCTTATTTAAAACGATAATGTTTATATGCATGACAGCTGTTTTTTTAGGATGATCTCACATCTGTGATACAGAAGTGCACAGCCCAAAGGCAGAGCTATTGCAGTAAAAGCTCATGGAATTATTTTAAATATAAACTCTTGTGAATGACACCTTTAGTCAGCCAGGTTTAGACTGTGGTGTTTAAAAGTCAAGTAGTAAATGATGGGACAGTCAAATCATAGCTGCTTAGCTACGGAAGAATAGCCAAAGAACTGTCAATTAGATCTACCAGTCTAATAACTATAAATGGTGCTGCAAATATATAAAGGAGCTGATTCTATTTACATACATACTACTGTAAAAATGGATAAAGTCTAGTAGAGTTACAGTAATAAACAGGGTTTTTTTATTCATCTATATTGAACTGCATATACACTAATGCATCTATTAACCACAGCGCAACCCTCTTCTACGAGCACTCACTTGTCCAGAATCAGGGCAATCAACCACTCCCAACACAAGGCGATGCATCAGAGACTGGTCCCGTTTACACAAGCGGAAAGCTGAAGCAACCGCAGTGAAACTGAGCTGTTAGTAGTTTCGATAAACTGTAACACTGAAGCATAGCTCCTCTCTGGATCCGTGCTCAGTTCCAGGCTATCCTTCCAGTCACTTGTCCTAGTGAGCTGGAGGCATCATAGCAAGAGTATCTATCTGGGGGCATTAAAGAAATGCTAGCATCTGCATCCCCGTGGCCTACCAGTAAGATAGAGTGAATTTAGCAGAATGTTTTGGTCCTAAAGTATTTAGGGCACATCATAACTATGTCTAAAGTCAAAAGGCATCAAAAAGTAAGTCTTTGTTTAGAGAGTGCCATGTTTTCCCTTCCCTGCCACAGTGTATTGGAAATGCTTGCTACTGCTGGTACATCTGGACTGTGTCAGCCTCAGCAAAGACAACCTGTGGCAGGAAAGTTCCAGATCAAATGGCCCCTTATTCCAGGTAATCTCTCATGCTGATCGTTTTTACTAATTTGTCTCAACTAGTCTTTGGTGCACTGTAACAGGAAGCAAATACTCAGTGAGCTTGGGCTGCATGCTAGCTGGCTCTTTTAATATGTTCTCAAAAGAGGAATCAAAGTGCTCCAGAGAGAAGGTATTAGCAGGAAAAACTGATAGGAAGGCTGGGAAGGCTGATATGTCATGTTACAACCTCATCACAACAGAAGGCTTTGCTCTCAGATTCTCTTAATAAACATTTCTGTTGACATTATCCCATTAGCAGAGTGTCAGCAAACACACTCATGCTACAGTTAAGCCTCGTTTCTGGTTCTGCCAGCCCTCGTTGTCCTTTGGATAAAATCCTTGCTCCACCTATACTCATGGAGATTTTGCTATGCTCTTCAGCTGGGGCCAAGATTTCAATTCTTCTCCATAATAGAGATCCAGGAAAAAAGCAGTTGAAATAGGTGGACCAATGTATTTACTATGGCTAACCATATAATGGCAACCAGTTAACTTTGTGACCACGAGCAGTACCAGCAGTTCAATACTACAAGGTGTCTAGACTTCAAGCTGTTATAAGTGAGCAACTAGTGCATTGCAACCAGGAAAGAGTCCCTACTTTCCTCTTTCACAGCAGATTGCCTTCGTGTCATGAGAGCTTTTCAGTGTCCCCAGGAGTAGTGCAGGAGTCAGCATGGCAGTACCGCAACACACCAAAGCCTCCGTGCCACATCAGCCTTCCACTCATCTGCAGACAGGTTTCTTTGCCTGGTTTCTGTTTCTCAAATTGAGGTGAGACTCCTGTGCCCCCAGAGCATCCTCCCAAGGCCCTGCAAAGGGTCGGGCATGTGTCAAGGTGATGGAGAGTTTTGCCGGGGAGAAGTGTAGGCATATTGGTCCCAAATTGCATGAACGTTTCAAGAAACATTCCTCGTTCTCAGCCAAGAACTTGGGAGAGCCCGGTGTTTTTGAGGTTTCCTGCCACTTCAACGCCACGGAAGCTGCTGTTTGTA